GTCCAATAGCGAATTCTCATCAACTTTTTCGATAATTGACTCCTCATTTGACTCATTAAATAGAAGTCCAACATTTTTAAGAAATTCCTCGTCATCTTCGTCTATTTTTTTGAACAGATCATCTGATTGGCCGTCTTCTCTTATAGCGTGCTTTATAATAATATCACTTCAACTTTGAATCACCTTGGCTAGCAGTTCACTTAGCGTTAAACGAACTTTTGAATCCGCAATTTCTTCGCTCCGGTCCCAGATAATATCATTGATTTCTGACAATTTCTTACACTGCAAAAAAGACAATAAAAGCGGTAAGAACTTTAGGAAATCCACAGTATTATTTTTTGTGCATATCTGCAAGCAGGATGTACACGTGAAAGAATCACATAGTGAGTGAAGCCATCATGCTTCTCTTTCCCATCAGGTTAGAAAGCATTCAACCTTTCCTCGAAAGCACCGAGAGGCATAGTACACCCAGTCAACATAAACACGCAAAAGAATCACACAATGAGTGAAGCCATCGCGCTTCTCTTTTCCATCAGGTTAGAAAGCACCCAACCTTCCTCGAACGTACTGAGGGGCATAGTTAAAAGCTGACAAACAGTCTTGCCTGACGCTCCTTCCTTCGCAATAAACTAACCTTTAATGTTTTATGTAATGACAATGCTTTTTCTGCTACCCTTTGATCAGATGCTTTAGAGAGAATGTTCAACTCAGTAGCTAACGAAGTATGGGCTCGATCTAGTTTTTGATGGAGATTCAGATTTTGTTAGATTCAAAATATATCGAACGACTCAATAGACCAATCCTGAAAGTTGGTAATCTGCAAATCAGAAGTTACAAAGCAGTCTAAGATATTTGCGTGATATGGTCGACATAAAAAGGGACAACTCACCTTCATAATAAAGATTTGGCGGAATGAAAATCGTATTCTGTGTAGATTTAGGCTCTGACATTTAAAGAATAATTGCGTCGAGAAAGAGTTTGTGTAGTGTATAAATTTTACATGTAATAGAAATCGATCGTCATACACACGTCAAACCAATATAAATATTTTTTCATATATCAAGACTAAAACGAAATTAGCTCTACACTAAGAAAATTTATCTCAGAATGAGCATCTTAGAATGAGCATCACGGAATAAAGATCATGAATAAAATCATGATCAATGATAAAAAGATATGTATAATACTAATTAGTTTGTATTGTTCGATTTTTACCATAGCAGATAAAAAGACTATCTCATCTTATCTTTATGTCATGATCCTTTTCAACCATATATCACAAAAAAATGACTACTATATTCCCAGTTAAGGCTACGATCATTGCAAAACATGAAAATCCTGAAACAAATATGGTAATTCCTCCTTTGATCAAAGATCTTCAGAAGAAAAGTTTTCTGATTATTTCTATATATCAACTTAAAAATTTTTTCACTAAACAGTTGGCTTATTTTCCACAGTATTAAAGATACAAGGGAGGAATTTATTTCTGAATTTCAGCTAACATTGCATCAATTTCAGCTAACATGGAATCCATTTCTATTGTCTAAGACTTTTGAGGATCAGGTTAGGGTGCAGGCAAAGAAGCCTGTATTTGGGATTTTGAACTGTTATTTGCTTCGGAAACAGATTCATAGTTAAATTCAGGACCAAAGTCTTCTGATTCTGTATCACCTTTAGTTTAATTATCGCCTGCATCAAGACAGTTTGATTCTTGCCTCAATTCAATTCTCAAAAGACATTTAAGTTATTCTGGAGCTGGATTCTTACTACTATGGATTCTGAAAACATGCTTATATCCATATTCTCTTAACTCTTCTAGGAGAGACTTATAAGGCTTTTGCTTTAGGAATTTATTAAAAGATATATTATTTCATTTTCTACTTTCTGTAAAGACAGAATTATGTAACTTTCTAGCTTTAATAGCATCTTAAATCCAAATGAGTAATTCCTTTGCGTGTTCAGGATTTTTTTCTAATAATAGGAATGGTCAGGCACAGGATTCTTCTTTTTTTCTCGTTTACACTTGAAATAACCTGTACAATACCAAGAATAGCCTTCTTCATACTATGCTGAAATTTTTGATAGATTCAATTTGTAATGATTAATCTGAAGTGATCTCACTTCCACAAGTCTTATACTCAACATTATAATTACATCTGCAAGATTCTCTCTAGTAGGAGTTTAGAAGTATCAATATTTTGAAGCTTTTTAGATATTCTTGCTAAGGAGCAATGCATGAAAATTCTATCTGGACTAGCCATTTATTTCTTAATTTATTTTTTCTTTAGCCGAAAATGCTAAAGCAAAACAATTTTGAATATCTATAATAAAAATGAAGATAAAGTTTTAAAATTATTAATATCAAAATTACCTTATATGGATCGTCTATCCTGTCAATACATCAAGAAAGATGGTTCAATTTATAGAAAAGAATGCTGGCATGTTTTAGGATAAGCTAGACATTATAAAGCCTATCCTAAAACAATATGCCCTATCTGTAATGAGAAAATCTGGAATTGTAATACACATGGTGGAATTTATAAGAATACCTGGTATGAAGGTAAAAAAAAAATCAGATATGGTTGAGACACCTAATTGAAATGCTGAATAATAGGCTGAAGTACTATTTTTCCTGTTTTATAGAATCAAAGAGTTCCTGAATTTCGTTATCTATTTTTAGCTTATATGGTAAAAGCTCTAAAGCACCTTTATTTTCAAAACCAATACCATTATATGGCTGGCGATTAATTTTGTATGAATATTTCCAAACCTGTTTTTCTCTAAAACCTATTCTTTTTTTGTCACTTTTAATAGTATTTCCACACCAATTGTATTAATTGCTTGTATAGCCGATTTAAAGATCTGGTATTTTCTTTACATGAGACTTAAAATCAAAGATAATAAAAATTGGTTTCAGATTTCTATAAACCTTTCACAAGACTGTGTAAATGATTTATATATAGTATTACCAGAAAGAATACGCCTGTCATCAATGCCAGTAAAGCCTAATACTTGAAAGAGTTTTCTTATAACCTTCTAATAATTTGCTGAATAAGATTTACGCAAGTCTTCTGCCACTGATTTTTCCAGATTTTATAGCAAGCAATTTCCTATTGTATATTTTTCTCAGCTTTCAATCCCTTCATTGCATTCTTCTCATCATGACCTTACCTTCTAAAATAAGACAATCGTAAGAAATGTTTCTGAGCTTTAGACAAACTAAAATTTTCAATGAATTTTCTATTGCAAATATTATTCTAATCCTCAATACTCATGTTTTTGCAATAAAGATTTCTTATATAAAAATGTTTAAGTGTCATAGTATCTGCAATAGAACGCTCTTGATTAAATTTAAGGATTTCAGCTTCTTCAAGACTAAGATTTTGGGAAGTAGCAACTGCATTAAACTCTGTATTTTTAATAACTAATATTTTAACCTAATCTCATTGCAGACTCTTTTGCAACTCTCATCCATTTTTATAAGTTGGAGAAAAGTACCTATACTGGCTATAAGAATGCAAAGCTTTTCAATAAAATATCTTGCAGAAAGACATTTTTGATGCTCAACTTCAATGAAAGTTATTGCGACTGGAGACTCATTAACTTTATAAGAAATGGTATTATTATTTCATTCATGATGTCCCTTTATTGCTATGGGTAAATTATTAGGTTGAGCACTTGCAAGTTCTGCCTAAATATTTTCATGACCTGGTGAACGAAAATGTTCATTAGAATTTTTCTAATAAAATATAGAAATAATACGACAAGAACAATCACAAATTTGGTAAAACATTTATGCAAGAGCCTCAACATGAACTGAAGTAGCAATATTTGTAATAGCTATAACTATATCGAAATGGTTTGTATTCCAGCCTCTATGGTATTTGTATAGGCTATGCAGTTAAGCTCACCCCAAGCAATATTAATATCAAAGAAGTCTTTTTGTCTCTGCTTTTCATCCATATCTCCATAGTATATACAAGTTCTAATAGGCGAATTATCAGATTTAGATAATTTAGATGCTTTTTTTACTAATACTCTAGCCATCACTGCTCCAGTAGATATGAATGCTATACGTTTATCCTGTTTCAAAAGATCATATCCTATTTGCATAACTTCAGCTTTGCTATTCAGATCATAAATAAACTCAACTGTTTCACTTATACAAGGCTAATATTTATTATTGACTACATGAATATTTTTACTACAATAAATCTGGAGAAAGGTTAGTGTTGATATATTTACAAAAGTATCTATAGCCAAAATATGTCTCACAGATCTTAATATATCATATATTGCATTCTCAGATTTCCATGCATTTGTATCACTAGATATTTGACGTATAATGGCATTGACTTCATTGAGAAAAGCTATAAATAGATGGGCTGTGAACTTTATATGGAAAAGACTCTCAACTTGAATTATGATAATATCCCACTTATTTATAGATAAGTCTCCTTGTATATTTTGGTAATTACAAATTCAAAAACCAGATACTTTTAGCTCATCAAGTCTTGTTTTTGATTTATTGCTAAGAGATTTTTGATAAGAAACCCAGATATAATATAGTAAAAAAAAAATATCATACATCTTATTCTTCAACACCATAATAATCTCTCTTAATGTAGTGGTTTTTCATATTCTAAGAGGAGAACAAATAAGTGTTGTCATTTTCTCAGTACTCAAGAAATCAGAATATACTTCTGGAACATCCCTTAATTTTTTACATTAATCATTATCTTTGATAATCTTACAAGAGGGCGTGAATTTGATATTGCATTACCTATTCTTTCAACTATTCTTCTTTTAGGTTTTGCAGAAATTTCAGTTGCTTTTCCAAACACTAATTCCTTATAATCTGGTTTATAGTTTTTTTGCTAATAACATTTAAGTATAAGCATCTGTTGCTCTGAAGGAAACTATATAACTGGACTTTTTTGTGTATAATTTTACAAATAAAACATGCTTAATATGATTATGCTTGAAAATGAACAAATCTATTCCCAATCTTTCTGATCTCAAGCCATTTATATTTTGCAATAACTTGATTAGCTTCTTTGCTTAAGACAGATTCATCTTTAATAGGCTGAAATTTTACTTCTTCCTTCTCAGGAGAAAAGGTCTATGACCAGATTTCAGAACAATAAAATTTGGGTTGAACTAAGTAATCCTCTAGTTTGCAATATCCTTTCTTAATAAAAGAAACTGCATGTCTTTTAACTCTATTATTCTTTGCTGATCCAAGAACTTAAAGGCTAAAATGAGACTTATAAAGCCCAAGATCAATAACCTCTAAATATAGTTTCCCAACCCTATTAGCGACTTTTTTTACAAAATCCCTGAGATCTCTATAGTCAATAAAGTAGATATCAGAACATATAATATGCCAACTGCATTTATTATCATTAGACGAACTAGTTAAAACGAAAGCATTTAAAGTTATGAGATGTTTTAAATCAGAGTATAAAATATTAGCACAAACAATTAAGATTTTGGATAATAAATCATCATGAGAAATTTTATATTTATCTAAGGAAGGGAATTCAGAATTTATGGGATTGGGCTTCTGCCTCGCATCGATATCCAGAATAAGATGAAGAGGCAGATTCCTGTCAATGCACTTATGAGCATCGAGTAAGTTATAAACTTCAAACGGGTGATTAATAACTGTAAAACCCTTTCCTGCCACCCGAATTATATATTTATCAAAAATCTCTTCAGGATGATAAGCTTTCAAAAGCGTCACATTCTCTCTAGTATTAGATGTCAATAAATGAAATATTGAAAATATGTATGATCATTATAGCCCAGCTCAAAATCAAGGTCTGTTACATCTGAAAAGAGCCTTATTGCTTCATTTATTTCTTCAAGATTAGGTTTGAAATTTTTTTGTGCAAGTAGCATGATAGGTATATAGAGGAAGTTAATATAAAATTACATAGAAAATCCAAAATCTTCAAAATAGAAATTTTGAGCGAATATGATTGTTAGCAAAATACTAGGTCAGTGGTAGTATTCAAAAGTAATATCCAAAAGCATTCAGTGCAGTAATATCTTAAAGTATTCTGGAATAGCAACTATGTGAGAAAGGATTCTAAAAATATAAGGGTAAAAAATAAAGTATAAATTTGGTAGTATATATGGGTAGAATAATATATAGGAAATAAAATAGAAAATTATGCTCATAGATACTACTGGCAATAAGCAGGAAAGAGGTCAGAAAGGCTCAGGAAAATACACAAAAAAAGGGTATTAAAGCTGTAAATTCTGAACCAATTCAGCACTTCGTGCCTCACCTTCAACAATAAAACAGGTTATAAAAGGCGGAATTGCAAGAATGGCACAATACTAACACTTCACATGTATCTCACCAGCAATCAAAAAGTGGGTGAATAGATTGCAACACATCTTTAGTAAATAGATGGATTGCAAATTCAGCACTTTATGCTTCATCCGGCAATCAAGAAATAGCAATTGAGAGAAAAGCAACTATGTGAGAGTATTCTGGCACCAAAACAGTATCACATGACTATAATGCAATAAGACACAGTATTAATTCGCTTATTTTTAGCCAACACCATTCCATAAATTTAACTAGAAGTTTGGATATAATAATTCAGCATCCAAGCTAGCATAAAACTGGCGAACTAATAGAACTTTTCTAGCATTCTGCCAGTCTATGACAATTTCCTACCAGTTTTACGATAGTTCCATAACACTATCATAGTACTATCATAGCGCCAAGCTGGATTCCCAAATCACATGCCCAAAAGATTGTCTGAAATTATGGCATAGTGTCAGCCGAAATTAAATGCAAATTTATTGTACTACCTGACACATTTTTTAATCACAATTTAGAATTTTAACAGACAATCAAGTAGGCGTAAAAAGAAGCATTCTCAATATCTTAACAGATCACCAAACAGGCTCAAAAGCAGAAAAACAAGCAAATAACTCTTTAGAAAAAAAAGCGCAAATCATTGTAAATACATGAATAGTTCTTTGATAATAAAAAGAGAACAGAGCAATAAAATCAAGCGGATAGTTACAAGGTAACAAAAAGTCCACAGAACAATAAAATCAAGTAGATAGCTATAATTAGGGTTCCTCAAAATCGAATCGAATCAAATATTTAAGCAATTTGAATTTGATTTGATTTTTTCAAATCG